CTACTTTGGGTAATATCTGGCCACAAGGAATTACTGATAATTTATTTTCTAAGGTCTTGTGATATCTATAACCAAGAATTTTGCTGGCACACAAATTCAGTTACTGTGTTTATAATTTAGTTTGTGGTACTGAGGGCATTGGAAAATGACATTTTAAAACCTCAACAGCAATTCAAGCAATGCCTCGCTTTAGCAGAAGAATCCACAGACCTCAATGTCAACAGTTTACCATTATGACCATTAGAAAGTATTCCCAGTGAAAACTACTCACACAGACTGTTTATATCAATCTGTGGATCAAACAAACTTATATAGATGAATTTATTTTGTATTTTATCACCAAGGCATTGCACATATATGTGTTCCAGTGTCTCTTTGTATCGTTTCTTGTCAGTTTTTCCCATTAAATTATTAAAACCAATTAGATAAAAACTTGTTTTCACATCAGGTCTAATACACTTAAATCTTCTATTCACAGAATTTTTGCAAGCAGCTACATCAGAAGATTGACGTGGTTGATGAGGAGCGCTATGATATTGCTCTTAAGGTGACAAAAAATGACAAGGAGGTAAGTATTATTTGCAAATAACCAACCAAGTATTTTAAGTACAATCTTATAGGATGCATACGGACAATAAAAAGTTCAATAAATTAATCCTGAGGATGGTTTTTTTGTTTGTTTTAAAAAAAAAATCTGTGTTGGAAAAAAGATACAGGATCTGTCTCAAAAGATCTTTGACTTGAAAGGCAAGATGAAGAGACCCAATCTGAGGAGGGTGAGGGTGTCTGCTGATGCAATGCTGGGAGCTCTGCTGGGCTCCAAGGTCAAAGAGTCTGTGGACTTCAAGGCCAACCTCAAGACTGTGAAGAAAGAGGAGGAGAAGGTAAGTGGAGCAATATATATGTTAATTCACACTATTTTTTAGGAGTCCTGAATGTAAACAACAATGTATTTACATTGTTGTTTACATTCGGGACACTATTAAAGTATGCCCATATTCTGCCTTTGAAACTAGTGCATGTGAAGTGCTACAAAGTTCAACAGTGTGCTAGGCACTAAGATTTAGTGCAATGAAAATAAAGACATACCTGCAGTGTTTGATATTAAAAAGCATGTATCCCCACCTCAGTATGAATTTAACTGCACTAACTGTACTATCACCCTGCAGAAAGAGGAAGTGACTGACTGGCGTAAGAACGTGGATGCCATGTCTGGTATGGAGGGCAGAAAGAAGCTGTTCAATGCTGGACAATAGATTTAAAATGAATATCTGGGTTAAGATGTCTGTTAAGAAACAGGTGGATGCAACGAACTGCATTAACTTTATAATGATTATAATTCTGACACAGCTCATGTTGTGAATATACAGACAGTAGTGAGGCATCAGTAGTGTCTTTAGGACAATTGTCTCTTAATATATATTTTTTCCCATAATGAAAAAATGTGTATTAAACATATTAGAGCACTACATTGCTTTTTTAGTTTTTTAGCCTATATCTGAATTAATATTGATTGCCTGTGTCACTTCAATAATATCGCCCTGCTTTTTGACTTTGTTTATTTATTTAAAAAATCACCCATATTTACAGAAAACCAGATGAGCATATGACAAGAAATCTTTCATGTGTCCTGCTTATGTTCTGCCCATGTTGTCTGAAAAAGCTTGTGCTCTTTTGCTATACTGAACTGATTAAGACCGTGAATGCACATTCCAGGGGCAGCTAATGCTGGAGTCAACTGTTCATGAAGTCCTTGTATGAATGTGGTATTAATTAAACTAATGAGCAAAGCATTGTCATAATCAATCAAATAATAAAATCTCTTTAACATTAAGCAGAAATCATTGTTGTCCTTTCAGTACTGTTTGAGAATGAATCAGGCTTATAGTCTGTGTGTTTATCAACATAAACTTCAGAAAAGTGAATTGAAATGTTAGACATTTGCTTTATCCAGAATTTATTGTAGTGTTAAAAAGACGTCACGTGCAACTCATAATTTTTAACAAGGTTTTCTGGAAATTGTATTAGCCTAATGGTTCTCAAACTCTAAGGCTCCTCTCCGAGTTCATGCGTCACACCCAACAATTTGCATCAGTCATTAACAATAGAAAAGAACCCAAGGTCAGCATGATAGCATCCAAACTTCATCAAATGCTTATTTTTTCTTTAAAAATACATTTTTATTCATATGCAATGATGTGCAAAAATCTTTTCCTCTAATTTCTTTAAATAGTCATTGGTAACACTTCCTCAGCTTGAAGGACATTCAAAGCTCTTCTTTGGATGTTGGCTGACTTTTGATCTGTTCTCTGTCAATGTTGATCCTATGCTGCTTCAATAATGTTGAGCCTGTTCTCAATGAGATGCTTTCTAGGTGATATTAATGGCAGTTCAAAATCTGCATTTCTTATTCCTTCAATGTTGAGAAGATCCCCAACACCACTGGCTGAAATGCAGCTAGAAAAAATGACAGAGTCCACCGTACGGATGGCTGTAGGCACTCACTGTTGTACTTTGCTCCTGACTTCCTCTGTACAGATGGATGTCTCAGGTCCTGTGCCAGGCCAACTAAAGAAATTGGAACAAATTCTATGTTTTTCCATCAGACTGGAAGTAATAGAGTGCATAAAGATCCATCACAGGACTGAATGACTACAGACCTGTCGCCTTGACGTCTTTGGTCATGAAATCCTTCGAACGACTGGTGTTAGCCCATCTGAAGGACATTACAGGCCACCAGCCGGTGGATGATGCAGTAAACATGGGGCTGCATTACATCCTGCAACACCTCGACCTGGGAACTTATGCCGGGGTCCTGTTTGTGGACTTTAGTTCAGCTTTTGCCTGAACATCTCTCCTCCAAACTCCCTGTGAATGTGTGTGTGAATGGGTGGATGACTGGATATGTAAAGCGCTTTGGGGTCCTTAGGGACTAGTAAAAGCGCTATATAAATACAGGCCATTTACATTTATTTATTCTCAGTATTGGTGCCCCTCAAGGATGTGTCCTCTCACCACTACTGTTCTCCCTCTACACTAATGACTGCACCTCCAAGAAGCTGCTGATCCAGTTCTACACTGCGGTCATTGTCACATTGCTCCCACTGAAACTGCACCTTATGCACATTCTGTAGTATTCATTCCACTTCATTTCTGTATTCTATGTATATAAGTTTAGATTGGTTATTTATAGCTGGTTTACACAGCTTTGTGTATGTATGTGTATGCATGTGTATGATTATGAATGTGTGTGTGTGTGTGTGTGTGTGTGTTGTGTGTGTGTGTGTTGTGTGTGTGTGTGTGTGTGTTGTGTGCGTGTGATTTACATTGCTGTGCTTGAGAGCCTCCATCTGTGTCTGCACATATACTTGGCCAATAAACACGATTCTGATTCTGATTTAAAGTTGATTCCGTGCTAAGTTGAATGAATTCAACTTAGCAAAGTTGTGTTGTACCCTCTGCTCAGACTCAGTCAAATGCAGCAAAAAAAAAAAACTCATCACAGTGGAAATGGAAAATTACCAAAGCATACTGCAAAAGCAACTGTTTCCTGTTGCAAAGAAACTCGATTGTTTCAACTGCCATTGAAGCAAATGAATTGAAGGAAATGCAGCATACGGTGATGTCAATGGCTTCTAGACTTTAGGCAGTCAATGACTGCAAACAGTTTTAATCTGAATGTTAAAAACAGCCCTTGTATTTAAAATTTTGTTAGCCAGTCAAAGTTAGTTAAAGTTTTGTTAAAACCATTTATCAAATCAAAGTGAAAAGTCTGCACATTAATCACAACTTTACTGTTTAAATTAGAATCCACTGTGGTGGTGTACAGAGGATGCCACATTATAATTTATGTCACCTTTCTCTTTGTTTGAACTTCAGCAGGTCATCTTTACCATGTCTGCATACTCATACATACATACTACATACTGAGTTGCTGCCAGCTGATATGTTTATTAAATATTTGCATTCAAAAGCAGTCAAACATTTACATCTAATGACGTGGACAGAGAGTGTTAAAGGGCCTATACAAATGTTGATAAGCATTTTGCTTATCAACAACAGGAAACAGATCAGGGACATTAATTGTTTGGTCCCAAAAAGCTAAGTCATTACATTTTGGAACATGAGTTGAGATATGGCTAATAATTTTTGGTCAATTTAACCATTATCAGACACTGTTTCAGGAGTCAAATTAATACCCATGAATCAAATCCACTGAACGACTACCCTGAGGTACCCCTGAGCAAGATACCGTCCCTACACACTGCTCCCCGGGCGCCCAAAGGCTGCCGACTGCTTCACAGAGTGAATGGGTTAAATGCAGACAGGGATTTCCCCATGAGGATTAATAAAGTATATGTTATTATTATTATTGACAATGAGAAAAAGGCACCAAAAAGAAGCAAAATGACAGGAAAAGTAACAAAAACTATGTGAAGAAACAACACTGAAACACACAATTATGACAAAAAGACTAAAATGCAAAAATCAAAACAAAAAAACATCTAGCATACAGAGATGTCAGATAATGGAAAACACCTATATGATGTATAGGTGAATGCACAAAATAAATACAAATTTCAACTTCCTCATTGTAGGTGTGTCTGCCCTGTAGGATGAGCAGGGAGGGCTTTTATCCATCTGTACCCAGTGCCTGTATTTTTCATAATCTGTCCCTGGCTGCAACCTGCAGAGGACAACTTACACTTCTTAGCAAAATCCAGACTGAACCATAACAGCTTCCCAGTAGGCTAGCTTACTTTATATAATAGAGCTTGAAGAACCGGATAGACCAAAGAACAATGTCGTTGCTCTTGAGTAATTTTAAATTTGGTCTGTTTTTTCACACGGTAATCGAAACACGTCTACGGTTGTGACACAGGCAACGCCTTCTCCCAGCTTCTCTATCCACAGTGAACGAGTCTGACGCTTGCAGCTGCTCCTTATATAGACATAACGTTCAGCAGTAGTACCGCCTGTGTGTGATATTCGACGTTCCTATTGGACGGCTGGACTGTCAATCGACAACGTCCAGGGGACGCTACCGTGCTTGGCCTGTGGTGTACTGCTGTCAACATTAACGGGTGTACCAGCTACATTTAGCCGGATATAATATTCTAACGTGGTAAGACGACGTTTTTTACAATGTTCCCATCAGTTTGGGATGAGAAACCTCAAAGTTTACAGTTCTGTTTTTAAATATATTAATCCTCTCTTTATGTCGGTTTTAGCGGCCATAACAGGCAGGGTTAGGGCTCTTTTAGGTATCGTCGCCCATCCTTTGAGGTTAGCTTTAAAGCTTTACAGCAACATGACAAAAAAGTGCTTATATGCTGGCTAGCTATCGTTAATTGTTGTTTTATCTTCAGCAAATAAAGAGTAAGGGTTAATGAGTGCATCTGCTGTAGCTAACTCTCAGCCGGCTAAAAACAACCTGTGACCTTTTGCTGGCTCTCTCTAAAAGAGGTCCCTGCTCCACAAAACGTGTGATTCATTAGGATGTACATCTCAAGCTGGACACAGATCCTTTTTGCATCTGTGTCAAATCTTTACTTTGCTCTCTACATTGCCTCTTTGTTAATTTCTGTTGAATTTGTGCAGGTGCCTGCAGCAAACTCTCCGGATGTCCAAGTACAAACTGTTTCTGCTGAGACATGGAGAAGGGGCCTGGAATAAAGAGAACCGATTCTGCAGCTGGGTGGACCAGAAGCTGAGTGAGAATGGGGTGAAGGAGGCCCAGGACTGTGGAAGGCTCTTGAAGGAGCAGGGATACAAGTTTGACATCGTGTTCACGTCCATACTTAGCCGCTCGATCCAGACAGCATGGCTGGTGATTGAGGCTATGGGTCAGGAATGGGTCCCTGTTGTCAAGTCCTGGAGGCTTAACGAACGACACTACGGCTCTCTGATTGGACTCAACCGGGCAGAAATGGCTCAGCAACATGGAGAGGAAAAAGTGAAGCTGTGGAGAAGGAGCTATGACATCACTCCACCCCCGATTGATGAATCCCACCCTTACTTCCATGAAATCTACAATGACCGTAGATACACCACATGTGATGTCTCGAAGGAGAAGCTTCCCCGAGCTGAGAGCCTGAAGGAGGTGTTGGACAGGCTGCTGCCATACTGGGACAGCACTGTGGTGCCAGTGATAAGGAAGGGCAAGACTGCCCTCATTTCTGCTCATGGAAACAGCTGCAGGGCCCTGCTGAAACACCTGGAAGGTATGCTACCATAACCTGCCATAAACAATGCTCGCTGAGGCTTTGTCTCTGTAGGGTGAATGCATTCCTGCAATACTGTAGTTGAAATCAGCAGCTGCCTCTGAACTCTACAGTCTTCTGCTTCTGGTCATCAGAGTCAATGAATTGGAAAGGACCTATTTCACTTCCAGAATTGGAAAGTGGTCGACCTCTTGTCGAAAGGCCACTGAGTTTGTGTTACATTTGCAGTGACTATGACCTTTTATCAACCTGCTTGTACTGCCCGCTCTGTAACTTGACACATATTGGGTGTTACCGTACCTGTAGATAATTACAGGAAGCAGAGGATACATGCAGGCTGGAGCAGACTAACATTACAGCTTTGCTAAATATGATCTCATTCTCTAGCAGTGATTCAAACTAAAAGACTGCAAACTGTAATTGGTCATGGTTGTGAATTAGGGCTGTGCGATATGACCAAAATCTCATATCCCGATATAAGAATTCTATCGTCCGATAACGATATAAATCACAAAAATGTAACATTTTCTGTAAATTCTGTGAATCTCGGGCAGCTTGTCTTGCGGGAAGTGTTTCCAGCTGTGCGTCATGTAGCTGGTGTCGAGTGTTTTAACCTATGCATGAAACGATACATTTTTAGACATAAGTTGTAACGGCCGCCGTTTTCTTTGTGAGTATTTATTACACGGCGTGCTGCAGGGGAAAGCTTGTTCTAACGTTTGAGTCTAAGGTTTATTTTTTAGCACCTGGCGGCTCTTTTTTACTTCTCATTCGTAAATAATCTGCTCTTTCACATGATTCAGTTTATTTTGAAAAGTCTCAACAGGATCTTGAGCTTTATTGTGAAAGGTTTATGTGGAACATAAACAAGCGGACACGCGATGGTGTTACCGTCGTTGTTGCTAACCACAACGCATAAAACAGGCGCTTGTCCGTCGGTAGTGTGGTTATATTAAATATAAGAGAAAGAGAGAACTTCAAGAAATTAATATAACCACTACAGTGACCATCAAAACGATGAAAAAATATTACCGTAAACAGTTTATTTTGCAACACCACGAAACAAACGATAGCGTAAAATGAAACGATAGACGTTTTTATATCGTCATCCGATATATATCGTTATATCGAACAGCCCTATTGTGAATGGCTTGTATTGGATGAATATTACTCCTCCTTTCTCCAGGTATATCAGATGAGGACATTGCCAGCGTGACTTTACCTACAGGGATACCTGTGCTGCTCGAGCTGGATGAAAACCTCAAGCCGGTGAAACCTCGACAACTGCTGGGAGACCAGGAAAAGATTCAGGCAGCCATTAAAAAGGTGGAAGACCAGGGAAAAGCCAAAACAACAACTTGAACGCATTGCAATAGTTGTAAGACGTAATATAGTTTCATTCTTGCTGCCTCTGAGCACTTTTTTTTTTATTAGCTATGGCAAATGCCAAACTCAACAAACTTGAATAACTCCTTATTTAATAACAGACAACTGCAACAACAGATTGTCATTCTACTGGGACACGGAGAAGTTCAGAGATGTGTGTGTGTGTGTGTGTAAATGTTTTAATGTTGTGCTAAATGTTTTTGTGTAAGCACTGAGAAGACATTTGGTCTGTAGCTTGAATGCCACTGTGAATGCCAGCTGGGTAACACTTAAGGGTTTTATTTATGTATTTATTTAGTTATTAGGTTTCTTGCACTGTAACTCTACTTTACAGATTCATAGGTTGCACTGATGTGGCAAAATATTAAAATGCAAAATATATTTCCTCTCTTAAAGGTGTTTTTGTGTGACAGGGTTTCTAACCTGTGCCTTCAGTTTTTATTCGGCACCTGAAACAGGTCTTTTATTGAAAGTGGACCTGTTATGCTTTTCCTTATTTACCTTCAGGTGTGCGCTGTTATGTGAACTGAAATGAGTTCTAAACAGATGGTGAGTTTAAACATGTACATTACTACTAAAAATAACAGCAAATAACTGTCATATACAATAAACAGGAGGGAAATAATGGTTCCTGTGCTATGGATGGATGGAAAAAGCTCAGGCTTCACTTGTTTGAAATCAGTTAAACACTTGGTTTCAAACAGTTTCTTTTTCTCTGGCCTCTCTGTGATGTCATTGAGAAGGGATATTCTTTATGCAGCCATCTCAGGCGGACGGCTCTAGCGCTGACTACTTGGTTTAAAGGGAGAAACACTAAAACGTCTTGTTTCATACAGTGGATGAACTGAGGTGTGGCACAAAGGCCAGCTGTGAGATAAACTGGGATTATTTTGAACTGTGAATCAAGCAAAGCTACTCGTGTAGAGTCCAAAAATATGAATATGGAGCTGGAAATCAGCAGAACAGGTTCTCTTTAAGAATAAAAGCACTCCATTAAGAAATCTTACCTCAGAAAAATTACAAACCAGCCCATTCATTCCAAGAATTGGGTAATAAAGCCACTCAAATGCTGTGAAATGCTGAAATTGAATGTGGATAAGCTACTGATACCTTTTAATGGCCTACTCAATGCAGCAGAATCTGCTTTAAACAGTACATCAACTCTGACAGATAACAGATTGAGTTCAAAACACTTACACTCATGGATATATTGGTATGACAACTAGCTATTTTTATTTCTTAATTACAGTCCTACATGGGCCATTTGATGTTATGTAATGAGAGAAGATGTTACTGTTTGCACATTGTCTTACAGCAGAACTATTTTACCGTTATATGTGGCTCACACTGCTTTAATGTTTTTAATATTTTGTAAAGTGTGTCTTGTGTGTAATTGTTGTCTCTTTTTTTTTTTTTTTGTTCTCAGTTTCTTGCGTTTCGCTGCCACTGTAAGGCGTAACCGGTTTGTTAGGTCAACAGGCAAAATGGATACATTTTGAACATTTCTAGGTACTAAAGGGTAGAAACACTGATATATTTATATTTCCTGTAAGCTAGCTTAATGACCTCCCTGCTGTTCTCACCTTGCCATTTGAGAGTTGAATAAAAACTCTCAAGATGAATAAAATGGAATTCTAACTTTCCAAAAACATAAACTTATTTCTGTGTTATGTTTCATTTTCAGCTTTGTTTTTATCTGATTGCTCTTTATTATTGAAGAGAAGGGTGTTCCAGATGTTGCCCTGATATACAGTAAACTATATAAATTATGTGATGGAGCAACTGAACCAAATCGGGAAAATAAACAATAATGCTTGTTTTGGAAGTGCAGACATCCTCGCAATTTGGATTCCGGTCGCCTCGAGCCCGCTGGAATCAATAAACGACTGAGTCTGTTTGGCTACCGCACATGGACTCAGAAGAGTGGTTCTTCATTTCTCAACCCTTTCTGTAATTTGGCCAAACCACTGAGGCTGAGACCGGGAGAAACCCTCTAATTGGATGGAAATGCTCCTAAATGAAATGATCAATGTGATTGTTTTTATTCCAACTTATGTGGCAGGAGCAATACATGTATTTAACTGATATGCTAATGTATGGACCACCGTGTTTATATCTATCCTTTAACAATCAGACAGGCTCATTAAGTACATCTGTCATTTAACCCAATACATCTAGAAGCCAAATACTGCACTTCAGTCAGAAAGCTTTTTACACACAATAATGCAGCACTGCTAAACTGCATAGAAAAGAAAGCGCAAGTTAGAAAATTGAATCTATGTTTAATATGTTTAATATTTTTAACCTTTATCAACCAGAGGAATCAGTTGCACTGCAATTTAAAGACATCCCTAAAGTTAACCTGTGTGCATACTCATGTCAACCCTGTGAAACTCAGTGAGTTTGCAGCTTGAGCAGGCGGAGCTGCACATTGCATGCTCTGCTTATAAACCCCTGGTCGCTCTGTGCCTGCTGATTTCCAGCCGCTTTGGTCTGCAGGCCTGGTAAGTTTAATCATAATGTGTGATGTTGCTTCACAAGGTCATTAGCGCAGGCATATAGGGATGTTGTGTTTTGTATTTAGACTGACTTGTGTGGAAAAAACTGTATAATCAGAGTGAAGTACATATTTACAGATGCTAATGACTGTTGAATTTGCAGTGGTTTCATGTATCATTTGATGTGAGGACAAAAAGACGGGCTGGTTCAGATTTTGAAACACCCCAAAGAAGACTCTTGAAAAGATTTGTTAGGTTATATTTTATATGGATGCCTCACTTTTGTACTTCTTCTGTAGTACTAATTATTACATCTGAGCATGCCATCCTCATTCTAGATTGCTTGAAAAGAGATGAAACTGAAGAAATAGAACATAAATATAAGTGCACGACATTCATTGTTAAAGAAACTAAATGTTTAGATCTCTATGGGAGACTTTCCACACAGAGATATTAGGAGAACTTAATTGTGTTCCCTCAATACAAGTTTTTAACATCCTCAAGCAGAGACAAGAGTGGGAAAGAGGTATCATGAAAACTGAAGTTGATGTGAAATATCTTTTTACACTGTGTTTATATTTTTATCTTTAATACTAGAAAGGAAATCTCATTGTTATAAAGAAAATTGATTCTACTGGATCCAAGCTGCATAGAAAAAGAACTCTAACAAGGAGTGACAGAAACAAAACAAGTCTCACAATCCCTTTTCATGAAGTAATTGTGAGCTTAATCATGTACAATTTGCTGGCGGGGACTTCTGCAAATAAGTGGTTTCAGCTGCCCATATTCTTGTTTTTCCTCCCTCCTTTCATGAAGCTTAGATACTTGCATCTTTCTGTGCAACAGAACGACAGAAGTCGAAGCCATAATTCAGTTTTAGTTTTCTGTTGCTCATATATTAAGCGGACGTCTGGCTGTGGACACACTGTTTGGTGTAGTGGACATGCCAAGTCGGCCTCCTATTCCTTAGATGGTATTGCAGATAAAGGCTGGACCACACTCGGTTGCAGTGTGCGAGTTTGTGACCGGAGGCTGATCTAGTCTGGGACTGGAAATGTGTTTGGATTTGAAGAGCATTCTCACTCACCCATCTTGATTACAGAAATCGGGATGACTTTGTATCCTGAAAGTGAAAACAGCTGTGTATGCACAAAATGTAAAAGATATTGTTAACGCATTGGACTTCCAGTCTTTCATATCCAATATGCACAAGTACAAGAGAACACATTCTCAGAAAGTAGAGCAATTCAGATATTTATGTTTAATGTTTAGCTGTGTATGACTTTTCCCCCCTTTTTAATTAGTACAGTCCAAACGCTATTGTCTGCATGGTGCCAACTGTGTCTGGATACAGATGGAAATACAAAATGTCTTTTGAGCGTGAACACATGGGAGCTGCTGCAGTTTGAGTTGAAAATCAGCCATTTAAAAAGTTGTGAATCAAGTTTGCCAACTGAGAAAGTGATACGGGAAAAATTCAGCTGCTGGTGTTTTAATGCGAGCACAAGCGGGTCTTTGTGCCTCAGCAGTGGAGCGATTTGAAAGAAAAGCACACCGCATGGTCTCTGGTTGTACAGGTGGGGCACTCTAAATGGGAGAGGAAATGGTTTTCCACATGAGCAAATTACAAGAGGTTAAAGGGTGAACATTAGTGGCACTAATGTTAATGAAGTCATTTGTCAGCGATCAGTCTGCCATACAGGAGAAATAGCATTCCCAACACCAAGAGAAGAATGATTTGGAGTTAGGAATCATTTCAAGGGTCCTGCTTTTTCTCATGGTCTTTTTTAATAATCACAGTTTGGGTTTTGCCTCCCAGCACTATTTTTGGAAAGCTTATTCACGGTGATCACAATGGAAATAAGTTATTCCTGGGTTACCACTTTGTTTAGCAGCAGGTATTTTCTTGAGTAAACCACGATCTCTGTCCATGGCAGGGACATTACAACTAACACTGCCTGTGTACTTCCTTAAAAGGAGGCCAAGTACGCCATCTGAGCTGATGGGATGTGGAGCAGGGAGTGCACGTAGCTGCATCTATTTCCATTGAGTGCCCGGCTGAGGATGAAGCGATAACTTGGCTTTGAATTAGGATTATTTATTGAATTGTGTCACCACACATATTTCATTCCAGTCAATGATCGCTCCCACTTTGCAATGTTTTATCAGCAATCAAACAACAATTTCCATCAGCTGATTATAAGCTATTATAAACCATTTGTTTAATAAAACCAATCGGTGCTGCAGAGTCAAGAGCTGAAGGGCTCGAATTTACTAAAGGCCCCTGTCGCTTTGCGCAAAGCTGACAAGATAGTTGCAAATCTTCACATCAACAGCCACAAAACAGCACAGACTCCTTTTCGGCTCTTTTTACAAATATTTTAATGAGCAACAGAAAAGGTCACCAGTACAGTATGTTGTTGCTTGTAAACTGTGTGTGATTTGTATCCTGGTGATGGACTTTTTTGAATGTGACCATGTTTGGTCATGTGGAGTAAGCAGCTGTGGCTTCTTGATTGATTGCAAACGCCTCTCTGGCAGCTGTTTATCTACATATAAATGTGTTGAAGTACTTTTTTTTTATCCTTCAGTGAGAAACTTGTCTGTCTTTTTTGATTTAGTTTCTGCAGCGCGCGTCCTATATGTGCTGTAGATATTTAGCTGATGCAGTTTTGGGCAGGTATTAAACAGTCATATGATGTCAGTTACCAACCTTACAATTAGCCAGTCAGACAGAATACAAGTCAAAGGAATCGATTAAAGAAATATTCATGTATAGTTATTCTGACCTCGTGACTGTAGGCCCACCTAAAACACAAAGACTGGAAACAATGGGAAACGGCTACTTTACAGTATCTGTCACCCTCAGAGTTAACAATCTCAGCAGTAACTGACATGTAGCTATAAAGTCTGCTGGCATGTTTCTCTAAAATGATCATAATTTAGAAGAGTAGTATGCTGGAAAAGTTTATTTTCCTTTTTTTCTTGCATCCACAGTTATTGCTGGACTCATTGCAATAGAGACAGAGCTGTGCAGTTACTAGTATCCAGCTGTGTGCCTGTCTGTGGTGAACATTTCCTGATTGAAGATGTGAAGTTTTCTCTTACATGCCAAACCAAATGTTAATCACACATTAGGAACAGTGTTAAACAGAACAGAGTCTCTGTCTCAGGCTCTTTTTGATGTCTGACTGATACATTTGGAGACACTCTGTAAAGACACCATCAGTAAGGCAGTAATCACAAAGGCCGACAATATACAAACAGCACATGGTGTTTACACAAAACTGGAGAGCCAAAGGAGAAGCATGTAGCTGATGTAATTATGGGGCTTTTAGTGAAAGGCTTATAAGACTTATTACAAGCTTCGATGGACTACTTGAGGGATTCTCGGGCTAAATCCAAGTTGGCTTTCAGAAACGAAGAAGTCAAACGTGGGCTTACTGTGAATTAACCGCTTTGGATAAGGGACACTGGCATGGGTTACTATTGCGTAGATATAGGTACATGTGTTCAGTCACATCTATCTGAATATGCCAGAGACCTGCAGGCTTTCTTTTAATGTACTTAGTACATTAGCACTGACTGAATATTATTGTGATGTAGACTTTATGCCATGTTTGCAAAATGTGCTTCCTCATGATCTGCAGCTGGTTGTTTGGCTTCCTTTAAAGGTGAAGTTTTGCCATTCATTGCTGCTTCAGAAAGCTCTCCAGTTATCAGGTTGAATTCCCACTATTGGTTTGGGTTTTATATATTAGAACTAGTAAGGTGGCAGCATGACATAGTGCTGCAGGGTAGCAGAAGATCGTGCTGTCATCATTTAAAGCAATAGGGTACCTAATAATGATTTGGGGGGACTTTTTTGTGAAAAAGAAAAAACCCAAATTAGGATTAGCTTAGTTTGAGATGAAGGCTGGGAAAGGTAGGAGCTGTTGTAAGTTGTAAAAAAATCTGTTAGCTACCAACACCTGTAAATGTTTAATAGACATTTCTGTTTAATTTATAGACAAATATACATGGTTTGACGCCGTTGACATTTTGGGATAAATAATAGCAGTATAGACAGATATGACATGCACACTGAACAGATGAATAGTGACATATAAATATATAGTTAGTGACGTGTACAGGTGATGAGAAGGGATTTTTTTGTTTAGGCGTAACCAGGCTTGCTTTAGCCTTTACCTCCAGTCTTTATGCTAAGTTAGGCTAAGTACCTGCATATTCTGCCTGTCTTTGGTTTCATTGGAGTAAACGCATTCCCTCAGAAGTCACAGTTTTGTTTAGCTTTAAATGTCAGAGTTTGATTTTTTTACATCTGACTTAATGCAAGCCAGTCATATAAGGCTAAATATTCATGAACAGTGTGTTTTTTGTGATTCTTTTGCTGCATGAAAGCAGTGTGCTCAAGTAGCAGGAGAAATATATCTAAATTAAAGTGCCAGTGTGATCAGTGCTTCCACATATTTTTGGGCCTTCAACCAAAATATATATAACAAAATATAGAAAAAGTTATTCCTAGAGGTAATCTGAACTATACAAATCATCTGTCCATTTGCAGATAGCACTGTTATGGGGAACTCGGAGAATAATGTCTGTGCTGTTAAGTGCATGTCTCTCAGTGTAGACAAAAGCTGGGAAGAAAGGCAATCACATTAGAAAGTTTAAACATTATAAAGTCTAAAAACTCTCAAGAGATTTGAAACTTTATAAATAGAGATCTTCACTGGCATCAGCGGACCAGTGAGGCAATGTTTGCGTTAGCCCATCCAAACATTCCTGCTTCACCATTCAGACATCTCTGAGTTGTTCAGCTCAGTCAGTCCTTGCGTGATGCTCCATAGAATCCATAATTCAGACCACCTTTTATGATGCTCAGACCTCTTCTCATCCCATGAGGCTGTGAGAGAGTGATGAACAGGTTGTCACTTGTGACCCTGAGAAGGATTAAGTCAGTGAACAAGTGACAAGTGAGTCTAACAGTTAGTTCACACAGAAAAGAAAGTCATCCTCATTCACAATCCTGGCAAATAAGCTTTGGTCATTGTCAGCGTACATCAGCTGATAGCCCAACTCATACCCTGATGTGCATCCAATAGGTGAATCCTAATAAAGGGCACTTCTTTAGACAGGCCACAGTTTCTGAGAATCTCCAGTCTGCTTTGCAACCCACCTTTTCCCCTGCACTCCCTTTCATGCTGCATCTGACCGAATGACTCATTGATCTGACCAAATATCCATCATTTATTTCTTTGTATAGCACATGGTTTGCAAAACACTACAATGTACTGTAGTTGCAAACAAATACAAGGCCTTTTGCTTGATTGCTAATGTGTAGTATACAATATAATCATTGTGCATTGGTGCTGACAGAAAATAGTCCCCAACAAAAACGTGTTTTATGCTGTTTGAATTACATTTCCTAATAACTGCACTTGCATGTGTTATTAAGAGAACATAATGTTCATTTTAGCTTTTTTTCCCCAATGCTGAATTTTAGCTCGTTCTTCCAGATTTTAGAGAAAGTCCTTGTTTAATTCTGGTCTCTATAGAGCACCGTCGATTATATGTATATATTAAGCAATCTATTAGAAAAGCATAGAATAGAATAGAATTCAACTTTATTGTCATTGCACACGTCACAAGTACATGGCAATGAAATGCAGTTTGCATCCATCCTGAAAGTACATTAGCAATAATATAGCTATATTACAGAATATAGATCTATTAGAGCTATGATACAATGTACACGGTATGAAGGTATGTTATGAATAAGTATGTACAGGCTATAACTGAAGTGAATGTACAAGCTATATACAGGCTATGAACAGGTTATACGTATGGTTATAAATATGAAAAGCTATAGCAGATTATAGATATACAAAGGCAAGTATTAATAAACAGTTGTAAAACTATAATTATTGTATTGTACAGTATGATTGTCTATACAGCATTTACAGTAGTGCAATCAAGATCAGTAAGATATGGATAAATTATACAGTAATTATATAAAGTGCCAGTGGTTGTAAGTGGTGGTTCAGTCCAGCATCAAAACGGGGGTGTCAGTTTTTCGGTGCCAATAAATCTCTGTTCAGTTTCCCACAAGGGTAAAGTCTAAAAGAGTGCCATCCATCTCCTGGGAAACTCAACAGATTTGGGTGTTTCAGGGAAAGGGACGCTTTTGGCTCATTTTGTTTGTAAGTCTAAATGACTGTGTATGGTACCGGTCATAGTACAAACTAAACTGTGACATGCTTATGTCCCATTATGATGCACTGCTTACTGTTGGTGGGCTCCTCTGCATCCATCCATCCATCCATCCATTTGCGTCCGCTTATCCTGTTCAGGGTCGCGAGGGGCGCTGGAGCCTATCCCAGCTGTCATAGGGCGAGAGGCGGGGTACACCCTGGACAGGTCGCCAGTCTGTCGCAGGGCCAACACACAGAAACAGACAACCATTCGCACTCACATTTACTCGCACATTCACACCTATGGGCAATTTGGATTAACCAATTAACCTATCCCCACTAAGTGCATGTCTTTGGACAGTGGGAGGAAGTGCTAACCACTGTGCCACCGTGCTGCCACTCCTCTGCAGATCTGAAAAATCTTGAAACAAAAATACAGCAATGAGAGTGAAGTGGCCCTCTTTAGTATAACCATATATGACCAAGAATGAAAGTAAAGCTAGCCGGGTTAAGCTTTCTTTGAACTGCCTTATAATGTATTGTATGATTGTTTCTAAGGCTAGAAAATAGAGTTGTTTGACCTTAAGTGAAAAAGTGTGATGTAATCTCCCAGTGCTGGCGCTTGTTCTGTTTCTATTGTGAAAGACAGGAATGCCTATTCGTCATGGGTTAGAGCTTCCTAAAGATAGTTGCAGTCTTTTTGGCTCAAGACTAAACTGATTTTATTTTCTATTTTCAGTACAGGGTGCATGACTTTCAGCTGCAGTCTCACAAAAAAATTGGTATGATGTTTTCTAAATCAGCACGGCCCAGCGACCGACTAAGTGTTGCTGCTTGCACTACTAGCAGTAGGAGGGCACCTAGGAGCAATTGGCTAGTTGCACAACTTCATGTTCATCCAAAGAAAGAGCAAACATTTGGAAAACTATAATTTTATTGCATGCTGAACACTGGATTTGAGCAGTCTTATTCCAATAACAAATGTGGGATCAGCAGCAGCCCATTTATAAATATATACTTTGGTTTATTCCCTAACTTTTCAATAATTTGCTGTCCTTCAGCTATTTTAACCAGCCAGGGATGTGATGACAGTGGAGTAGAAGCAGGATTTCACTAGACAGGTTCCTACAGGACTGCCAGACACTCACACACACAAAAGTTCCCCCTCACACTCACATTTTTGGCTAAGAACCATCAGTTACCTTAGCATCCATGTCTTTAGTGGGAGGACACTGTGGACACAAAAACTGTGCACGGCTTATACAGTTGTTTTTGTTAATGCTGAAAGCCTATACAATGTGTACATTATCAAGTAATGAATTTAAATTATGCTGAATGAGTTTGTTAGAATTACATGAGGAGGAAAAAACGGTGAATTTTGATTTATTGGCAGCTGTTTGGAGTTAGTGTTCCAGATGTTAATATAAGGTGGCAAGCTGTTAAAGTGCTATAAATGAAGGATTTTGTGTCAGCCTAAGAAGCCATTTTATCTAAGTCTGTGCATTTAAATGAACCCTCAGTTCTTTTCTCTAAGCCAGAAAGACTAGCAATTAGTTACTGGGCACAGGCTGTATGACGTTAGTGAGCTTTGGGAAACCCTGCAGGCCAGATTACAGCTTTATTATTACTAAAATGGGGGCTTTGGTTTTCAGTTGATTGATCTAGCTGAACAGTTGATTGTAGATTATAAGCTTTGGCAACCTTTTACAAGAACTATGATTTTATCTGTGATGCTGGAAACTCTAATTACCTTTTAAATGCACAGGAATGCCCCGCCTCTGTAGTTCAAAGAAACCTGTTTGTAGATTGCGTTTCCCACTGGATCTCTTTATCTGTTTTCAATTAAACTACAATAACAGCATAGGGAAACACGAGGAGTCAAACATGTTTGAATAATTTAATGAGAGAGGAAAAAATTGCACTCTTCTTCCTCTATTTAATAACAAATGTATGGGGTCCAGTACAGAGCCAGTAATTACAAATATTATTCATTATAGTAATTATTAGTTGGAAAAAAGTAATTAAAAGGCTAATGGCATTTTTTTTTTCTTTGGCAAATGAAAACCAACGTCATGCCAGGCTAATTGCTGAAATATAAACCACTGCGCACTGCAAAGCTGTCCTGTGACCAGTAAGTGTTGTGCAGTGAATAGCGTTTTAGAAGCACGGAATAATTCTGTGGAAACCTTTATAAATTAAAACCGACACATCTGACATAAGCTAGATAAAGCAGACAAGGTACAGTAAGCAGAATAAGACAAAGTTTAAGTCCAAATTCAGAGATCAGGGAGGGAAAAGTGAGAGTCAGAGGGAGCGAGCAGGAGTCTGCCTGAGGAGGAGGGAGGCTGAGAAAGAAAAAGAGGAGAGCAGAGAGGCAGGCTTTGCCTTTTCTGGTAGTTGTAGTCACTGCAAAGACAAGCAGGAATTCTTTTTGCGCTGCAGAAGGACTAAGATATAAACCAGACTGTGGGAGCTGATATATGACAGGAGAGGAGTCTCTGTTGTCCGTGGACTAAACTTTCGCTATTGCTAAGGTATTGTAAACCAGCAGACAGAAGTTTTTATTGATTTTTTCATATGTTAAAAAAAGTTTGGGTGGGCCCTTTGTTATATTGCAATGTGTGTCTGTTAATCTGGACCCTACAAGCTGCTGTTAATTGAGTTTAAACATTTTTTTTTTACATGTGCATTAAAAAGTAAATGTCCATTTCATTTAACTTAGGATACTCATGCTGACATTATATTTGTGTCTTTTAGTGAGAAAGCAAGGAGAACCTTTTGGCCACCATGGATGACGACTTTGACCGCCGCATGGAGCTGAGGAGGCAAAGGAGAGAGCAGATGCGCCTTGAAGCTGAAAAGTGAGTAATCCTGTAAAACCTGTGCAAAACAACACATGCACACACACACAAAAGACACAGTCCTGAGCATGCAGACTTAAAATTACAAGAGAAAACTCACAAAAAAAGGGTGAATGCACTGTGAATATCAGAACATCTTACACCACATCATCTTAAATTAAAGCCTCATTAGCATTGTTAGCATGCAAAGTATTTGTGTCGGCTCACAAAACAAACCGGATAGCTTTTATATTTGATTAGCAGGGCCTACTCACTCACTCCGAAATATACACACACACACACACACACACACACACACACACACACACACAAACAAACACACACACACACACACACACACACCTTTTTTTTTTAGTTTTTAAACAGCAGCTGTTTCCCAGTCACATCTGTGGTGACACTTTTAAACCCTTGGGTGCAGTGAACCATTCTGAAAACATTAAACAAGATGTTCCTCTTCTGATCGTTCTTCTGTGCCCTCCGATGATTGGTTCGTCTCATGGACACATGCTCAGTGAGCAGGCCTTTCTATATATGCATACTATATGTGGTTTGATGTATGGAAGGATGCATGATGGAGTTTTTTGTCTCCACACGGAGCAGAAGGAAGAGCCGATAATGGCCCAATGATCTCCACACTATCCTGAGCTCATTAAGGGGACCGTCATCTGTGCTGCTGTTTGGGTTTACCTTTCATTCTCTGTTGTTTCATTCAGTCTCTTTCATGTGCTCAGTAAATTAAACAATAATGTTTAAAAGATGGTGCTGATATCCACCCCAGTGGTGTAAAGTAGAAGGTTTGTACTTGCTGTGACCTCAGGTGGAGTAGAAACAAAGTGAGAGATGCTGACACTTAAAGATGTCAGAAGTGTTTAATCGCAGAGCTAATTAAACTGATGATCAAACACTGCGGTCACTGCATTTTACTCTCTGAATGGATTTGAAAAGATTATGATCACTTTAATCCTTTATGTGATCATATAATCAAGATGTCCAAACATAGCCCAGCATGTTGTGCTTTTTCCAGTCGGGTGCTGTCCTATCAGATGTGCCATCAGTGCCCAAGCAACGAAGAGCATTCCTTGCAATTTTCTCACAGCCGGCCATGCCAAACCAGCCTGCCCTTCCTTTTATGCCTTCCAGTTCCTCTCCAAACGCTGCCGACACTGGAATGTTTTGACTGTCATTTTTATTCCAGTGCATAATAGCCTGCTCCGAGGGCTTCAGACTTACACTGCTTGAGCTGAGCTTTTTAGCCTCTTTCCTTCATTTCACTCAGCACCTCTGTTAGCCAAGTAGCTCCCATCATATTTCCCCTCATTTATTATGCTTCGTGTCCCTCGGGCTGGTTGTCTGGAAATGTAACTGTGACATTTTGACAGCACTCAGTCAGGAAGCTTCAAGCTTTGGCTGGGGTTCTCTCTAATTGGATTGCTTCCTCACTGATTTCTCTAGGTGATCCGTGCCACTTGGAGAAATCTTTGCCTGTGGATTTATTGGATTTCCGCCTCATTTGGGTCTTTGTTGCTGTTTTAAAGACAGAAAGGATTCTTGCGGTTGCCTTCCACCTCTCGCAACATCTGTAAAAGATTGCCTCGCAGATTCAGGAAGAGCAGAGGGAAATAATACCCGTGCGCTATCAATGGACCATTTCAAGCTCCCTCTCTGTCTCATAAAGCCTGGTAATACTTAAAAAGATACTCCCAGGCATGCTGAAAGATTAACTGTGGAAGCATTCAAAGCTGGATGAAAGTCACTGACAGGAGATATGGGGTTGATGGAGAGGAACAGCATTGTTCTGCATCCCTATTCTGTTGCTTTTTCTCCCTTTTTCATATATTACATGTTGTAGTATTAAGTCCCAAGTGAGCCAGTCTTTTGAAGTACACGCATCTTCTTGGATGTGACATTTGCATGTGTAGCACGTGTGTTTATAATTATTTCTTATAGACTATTTTCCTCTCAGTTGTGGTATCTCAAATCTTCATCGTGTCTTTTAAAATCAGCTTTAGATGGTATGGCTGTAGCTTCTCATGTGGTCAACATAAAAATGTCACATATCACATATTTCTTTTGGAGGAAATTGTGTTTTTGATTTATGTGAAGTTTTTTAAATTTTTATCAGGAAAAACACTTGTTTTGTCACTTTAGGTTTCTTAAAAACATTAAATAAAATGTGTATGGGAAACTCCACTCTACACTAAAGCCTTACATAACATGTCATAGTGTGTCACAAGTAAAGTAGGCACAACCACGAGGTCCATGGAGCTCAAAGCATTTACAGTTAGGTCCATAATTTGTTTTCATCTGTTCATCTATACAGCGTCAAAGTGAATTTGCAGTCAGCTTTTAATGCTAGTACAAATACTAGAAAAGGAAAGTACCATTGGGAACCATCCAGAGTTCTCACGTAGGCAAACGTGTAGTAAAAAGACAAAGACAGGAAGTTAAACTAATAGACATACACAAGCAAAGTGAAAGGCAAAAAACAAAAAACAAAACATGAGCCGAAACTATATCACAAACTCCAAACCAAGGCATTTACAGATTCAATAAAGGACTAGATGTTACAATCTCTGATAATGCATTGCTTCAAATGAAGAAAGTCTTGAGGGATGGCTACTATGAAGAAAGGCAGCCTGAAAGCTTTACCAGCGGGACACATCATCAGTTGTGGCTTAACTTCACAGGGTGTTTCGGGCCTTTTATCACAAATTATACCAATTTTATTTTCTGCTTCTTTTAACTTCCTTGGTTAGGTTTAGGGATTAGAAATCTGATCTAGAGTATGATTTTTAAAGATAGATCATCAGTAGTGGACCTTGGATTCATTGGGTGTTTTAGCCATTATCACTAGACAGTGATATTTTAGCACAAAAGCTGCCAATAAGCCAAAGTAGCTTTCACGTGGATTGATGTGTTTTCATGGTTTAACCCAAAAAACTAAAATGCATTTTAAACAAAAGACTGTAATTCTGCACATGTGCTCTTTCAGGACAGGTAACACCAATGATGATGATGAGGAAGAGGCTCGGGAGCGAAGGAGACGCGCAAGGGAGGAGAGAAAGAAGATGAAAGACTCAGAGGAATCTGGTACGACTGAGGTGATCGACACTAACAGGTAAGATGTGTAGCCATCATCTAGAATGAGGTTAAATAAGTAACTTCCCATTAGGGGTTGTCTTAATGAAAAAAACTGTTTTTTTTGACGTATGAAAAATAAATTTACACACAAGTTGAATTGTTGTGTATAAAAGCAGCACATTTTATTACCTTGGCCTATTGCACAAATTAACTGTGTCACAAAAAACAAAAAAGTGTTTTTTCATTTAATTTTATTCAAATGCTTTTTTGTTCCTGCGTAAGCGTCACTGAGAGAGAGAAAAAGAAAAACGCAGCAGCTCTACAGCCTATCTAAGTGTTTGGTATTGATAAAGCCCTCCAGCCTCAATATTTGGAAAGCTCCAGCGGTTGTGAGGTTCTTGGATTGATGTTTTCGCTGGTTAGCCACAGGAGAAAATTCCACTCAGAAAGACTTGTGGGTTCATCACACTTGATCAGACCAAAACATTTGATAGCAGCCAAGATTTTGAGGTTCGACTTTGATTGAATTTAATCTTTGGTGTTTTGTTTTTGTTCTTTAATTTTTCAGCGTGACAGAGACGGAGTCCTCCACGGCCGTAAACGAAGGGGCAGATGATGACCAAGCTTTGCTGGAGCGCCTCGCCAGAAGGGAGGAACGCAGGCAAAAGAGGATGAAGGAGGCCATGGAGAGACAGAAGGAGCTCGATCCCACAATTGGCACCACCAATGGCACAGACGTCACATTGGAAGAGCAGACTTTCATCAGCATCAGCAGGCAACAAAATACAGAGGAGGAGGAGGAGGAGGAGAAGAAGGAGGAGGAATCTGCCCAGGAGGAGGTGACAAGAACTGATACTAACTCTTGGAGGAAAGAAGAAGAAGACACAAAGGAGGACGAGAAGGTAAGATGTGTTTCAGCCTTTTTGTTTGTTTCATAAATTATAATGTATTTACTGGGGAAAAAAGTTTTTATATTGTGATTTTTTTTATTGATTAATTGATTTATTTTTGTTGTGATTGTCAGGAATCTGTTGAAGAATCAAGAACACAAACAACAGAAAATGAGGTAGAGTTTTATGTCTTTTTACCTCTTTTAGACTCATTAATCCAACTCCATAAAACTGACGGGAAGTAAATTTAATTTGTTTTTGTAGGAAGAGACTGAGGAGAAGGCTGCAGCAACAGAGGTGGACACTGAGGAGCCAGGTTTAGAAAATAAAGATGCTGAAGATGAGCCTGCGCCTGGTGTTGACAAAGAAGAAGAAGAAGAAAAGAAGAGGCAAGAAGAAGAAGAAAAGCATCAAAAGGAAATGGAAGAAAAGCGGAGGATAGAAGAGGAAGAAAGACAAAAAAGGGAAATGGAGGAAAAACTCCAAAAGGAGGAGGAAGAAAAGACACTAAGGGAGGAGGAGGAAAGGAGAAAGAAGGAAGAAGAGGAAAAACAACAGAAGGAAACTGAGGAGAGGCTTAAACAAGAGGAAGAGGAAAAACAAAAACAAGAGATGGAGGAACAAATGAAAAAAGAAGAGGAGGAAAGACAGAAAAGAGAGCTGGAAGAGAGACAAAAGAAAGAAGAGGAAGAGAAGCAGAACACCGAGGTGGAAGAGAGACTGAGAAAAGAGGAAGAGGAAAGGCAAAAAAAGGAGCTGGAGGAAAAGAAGAAGAAAGAGGAAGAGGAAAAACTGAAAAGGGAAATGGAAGAAAAGAAAAAGAATGCAGAAGAGGAAAAACGAAAGAAGGAAATGGAAGAGAAGAAGAAAAAGGAGGAAGAGGAGAAACAAAGGAAGAAAGAAGAGGAGGAGAGACGAAAAAGGGAAGTGGAAGAGAAGAAGAAAGTAGAGGAGGAAAAAAGGAAAAAGGAGGCTGAAGAGAAGAAGAAAAAAGAGGAAGAGGATAAGCGCAAAAAGAGAGAGATGGAAGAGAAGAAGAAGAAAGAGGAGGTATTGATGGGATTTGTGGGACTTTTGTGTTAATGTAACTATTTGCAAAGTAAAAAAACACTCTTTATTTATGTGGGTTTGTTCTTGCTTTGCTGTGTGATGTGGTTTCGTGGTTTGGTCACAGATCACAGTGCAGTCGCAGTGTTTTGCTGGAGGTGGTGATATCAAGGATGCTGCAGTGTCATAGCTCTTTAGCTTACATCTGCTTTGCATTCACTACCAGTACTCCACTGTTGTTTGATGGCCTTTGTCCTGTGTGTGTGTGTGTGTGTGTGTGTGTGTGTGGTGTGCTGTGGCGGCGGGTGTGTGTGTGTGCTGTGTGTGTATGTGTGTGTGTGTGTGTGTGTGTGTGTGTGAAACACTGGGTGTTTGCTGATCTTTTCTTTCTCTCTTATTTTCACATCTTCGTGTGAAGGAGGAGAAGCCGAAGAGATTTGGGTTTAAGGAGAAGGTAAAACAATACTAGCTGTCAATATTCAATATGTGTTTATTTTTCTTTTATGGAAGAAAAACTTTTCTTTTCCCGTCTTTTTTGAAAGATTGAACCAACCAAACAGAATGGAGCTGTCATTGAAAGTAAATTAAAGAAAACAGAAAAGACATCAAGGTAAATCTTGGCAAACTGTCTCCACAATGTAATGGGACCACTGCTTATAGACAGTCAATGATTTTGATCACTGTTAAGTCTAATCTGCATGTTTTAACATGTGAATTAAATAAACTGTGCCTGTTTGCGAGCAGGGACAATCCGCCCTCCACTAAAGCAGAAGACCTGGAGCGACAGGAGGCTGAGCGAAAACTGCAAGAGCTGAAGCGCAGACGAAACAATGCGGAAAGTGAGGAGTTTGAGAAGATGAAGCAGAAGCAGCAGGGTGCCGAGGCAGAGCTGGAGGAGCTGAAGAGGAAGAGAGAGGAGAGGAAGAAGATCCTCGAGGAAGAGGAGAGGCAAAGGAAACAGGCGCTAGAGGAAAAGAAAGCCAAGGAGCAGGCGAGGATGTGTTATTTGACATTCAGGGGTTAAATATACCAATTTAAGACAGTGCATGGGTTTGGATATGTGCTATTTATCATATGTGTGGCTACAGAAATGTGACAGCAAAATGGGGCTTTTGTAACAGGAGGAGAGAAAGAGGATGAAGGAGGAAATAGAGAAAAGGAGGGCGGAGGCTGCAGAGAAGAAGAAACAGATGGAGGAGGGGTCTACAAAACCAACCTTTACTATCAGTCCCAAAGGCTCCTCTAAGGTGAGTGTCTGAGAATTGGTTCGTACGGCTTAGTTGTCACACAAGGTTCACTGAGTTGAGTTTACACACACAGTCTCGGTTGTATTTGCCCAGATCCTGCAAAGCCAGCTAAACATATGGCCACTTATCCACAGTAGAAACAAAAAGTGTCTGTGTATCTTTTTAGAGTAATTTAAATAAATGCTTTATTATACTTTGAGCACTATAATAATAACAAACTTTGAAGTCATAGCCAGATATCTGAAAACCCAGCTGAATGGAGAAAAATGCTTTTATTATAACTTGTGTGAGTAAACTCTTAAAAATAGTGACACTGTAATAGTACAGGCTGTAAAATATAGCTGTCTTGTATAAATAATGTATCTGGTTTTTATAAACTTTTATGTAATTGAAAGAAATTCCTTGAGGTTTTTTTTTTTGTCACCATGAGGTTGGAAGGCAACCAGAGACTCAACGACATGTACTAAGCAAATAGCACACTGTTTCATTTTCAAATCTAGGTTTTTATCACATACTGTGAGATGATTTGGAGTGCTGCCTGGTTCATTTTGTTACTTGATGACAGAGCCAGCCAAGCTGTTTCCCCCTGTTTCCATGCTTTGTGCGAAGTGGAGCACAGATATTGTTGTTCTCCCTTTATGGTCAAACATTTTTTCCTGACTACTGTTTTTGTTCATTTGGCATTCCCTTATCAAGTTCTGGTTTTAATTCCACTGATATAAGCTGTATGCTATTGATTAAAAAAAATAATGACACCTTGTGGTGCAACGCTACCATAGCTTTTTTTGTAGAGTGTGTCTTTTCTCGTGTCCCCCCACCTCACAGCACTGACCGGTCATGGCAGATTGCTGCCCCTTCCTGACTGTTCTTCTGATTTGGCGCTATATAAATAGAATTGAATTGAGTTGCAGAATGTGATTTGTGGCTTTGAAACGCTACTTGGTGTAAAAATCCACATTGTTTTGTGCAGATTGGGGAGAAGGCAGAATTCCTCAGTAAATCAGCCCAGAAAAGGTAAGCCACAAAAAAGATTTTTTTTCCAGTACAAGAGAAAACGATAAATAAGTGGTTGGTGGCTTTTACTAATGCCCAGTGCCTGGTTCATCTGTGCAGCACCACAGCCAGAGTGTCACACACTCCTATTGTCTCCAAGATTGGCAACAGAATGGAACAATACACTTCTGCCATCCAGGTGAGAGCTGATCTCTATGTTAAATATTAATCACCATCCTTAATAAAGGTAGCAGTAATAGTCATGTTTTATTTGAACATATATTCTTTAAGTTGCAACCAATGCAACAACCTTAAGATGGTCCATTTGAAGTCAGAGTATGATGCATCAGCTACACGAGAAACACATTTTCCTGGTGTAAATGGTTTAAATGGAGCAAGTCTCACATTATATGTATGGTTAAGTGTCATCGACTCATCTCTATTAAAATCAAACCAGGCTGAGAGGTGAAGTGTAGTGTTAGTTCAGTCAGATGACAAAGTCAAGCTCAACCCACGGTTCATAATGACTCACATTCAGCACATCCAGTAGACCTATTTCATATGAAATAGAAGGTAAACACAGGTATTATTAATCACACCAATTAAGATTCTCCACCTAATACAATAGAATCTACACATATTTAATTAGCGATGCCTGTTTATTTACTATTTCAAATCAAAATGATTACCTGGAAATAGTTCTATTGGCAAATCTCATTGCAGCCACTATTTAAGCTGCTTATCCTGCTTACTTGTGCTTTACAACCCACCTTCAGCCCAGCTCATCCTGGTGTCTGACTTGATTAGCGTTTGTCTGTTGTAATTTTTTCCTCCTTTGCTCCATACCCTTTGGGAGATCTTTGCTGGTGGTCTTCCTGTCCCAGGCCTTTCTTACCCACACTTCCATGTATGCACATAGATGGGTGGGTAGGTCCCAGAACAGAGCAATACTTCCAAATATAGGTTGTAGATGGAAAGAATAATTATTTTTAACTAATGTGAGTCTGACTAAAATGGTAATGGAAAAAAAAGCTGGACAGTAAATATTTGTTAAGACTGAGGAGCCATCAAGATTTAAATTTAGATAAGATTTAAAATCTTATCTAAGTAAATGTAGCAGATAAAATGTTCAATGTTAGCCTGTGAATTTGAAATATACACATATGAAGGGTGTATATTTCAAATTAAATATGTGTAGATTAATTTTTTTTTTTAAAAAAGCTGTATTTTCTTCACTTGTTACTAAATGATTAAAAGTTACAGTTAGTTATATTTGTATTGCAACATAGACCTAATGTCAAAGCTCTGAAAAGTGCCGATCATCATTTTGAGGCTTTTTATCTCAGTAAATAGTAGAATAAAATTGATAAATTGAAATGAAGCACAGTTATCTTAAAATTGTGCTTAAGTACATTAATGTTCTTGGGTAAATTTAAATCTATGTTGTTATTTGTGTCCCTGAGCTTGCTCCTGTGTTTGCCCATGTAAATGTAACTAAATACATCTTTGGGTGCCTAGAAAAGCGCTATATAAATGCAGTCCATTATTATTATTATTATCTTTTTACAGGGAAACAAAGATGTAAAATCTCCCAAGTCTCCAGTGGCAGATATTCCTACGGGGGGAACACGCAGCATCAAAAGTATGTGGGAGAAAGGCAACGTGGGCAGCACCTCTGAAAGTCCCTCTCCTGCAAACAAGGTAACGGAGAATGAGACAGAAAGAGGCTTAGTGTGGTTTAGTATGTGATTGCATATTTAAAGTGTTTCTTCACCAGGATGTGGCCGGTATCAAAGGAAGTGTGACCGGACGTGTCAACAGTTGGACGGGAAAGCCGGCAGAAGGCGAGAAGACAGTAGCGCCAGCACCTGCAGCAGCAGCACCGGCACCAGCGCCATCAGCAGCTGCAAAGCCAGCACCAGCAGCAGCAGCAAAGCCCGCAGTAAGACCTGATAAATCCTTGCCGTGATCACACATCCACACACTATTGTAAATCAGACGCCAGTCTTCAGCAGAGTAATCCCTTGATATTCTGCACATGCTGATGTGCTCATTTGCACATCAACATGCCTGTCCTTTGTTGGCTGCAGCCTTTGGGTCTGCACTCCAGGGCTGGACGGTGCTGCTGTCTTAAGTCTAGCAGCACCACATGGAGAGTTTACTGAACAGCATATGCTGTCATGGCTTTCTCTGAGTTCTTGTACACATGATGGGAAAAGCTTCAATTAATTTATTTGACCAGGAACCCATGAGAAATCTTTGTACAGAAGCAAAAAAAGTATTTATCTATTGCAGACAACAGAAGAGCCGTGAAACACCTTTCCTTTTAACATCATTTATTTTGTATTTAAATCCTATATTCCAGAAAACTGCAGTATTTTCAAACAGAAATCTCAGTTTGCATTTAACTCTCCCTGAAATGCATGTTTTAGTCCTACTGATGAGTCCGTACTTTGAGTGTCCTTTGGAAAAGGAGGAAAGGGTCATATCTATTCATAGCTATCACATATTATGACATGTCACAACAAGTAGATGGAAACTTAATGATTTAATTTGTTCTCTTTATGGTCATATAGCATAAATAAATGTGTACTAGGGTAGTCAGTGAGCACTGTGTCCTCTTCTTAAAGTCAGACACCAGCTGCTAGTAAAAACTGTCTGGAGACACATTCATGGGGAGTAAGGTTGGTAGATGACGTGTGACATTGTTCTTAAGCAAAATTTATGAGCAAGATAACTTTGGTATCAAATATCTTGGCCAGAGAAGTGCTGTAACCTTGCTGTTACTCTTGCAGTAACACTTCCCCCTGATGGGTTGAAGCTGTACCTGCAGTCTGGTGCATGTGTGGATATTAGCATTAAATCTTTACTGTGTCTTTACTGTGCTAGTGGTATTTTTCAGCCTTTCTGTCCTCTTTAATTGTGCTCTTTCCTTCAGCTATCCTCACTCAAGCTTTTCCTGCTGCTTTTTGTCTGCTCGTCAAACTGGTAAAGGTTTTGCATATACTTCACCAATATCACCAGTAATAACCAGAAGCCTAATAAATATGTTTGGGAACTGTATTTGCATCCATTGAAGGGAAATCATTTGGTACATTTACTCCCTGGACATTGATGACTTCATACTTCATGTGATGTTAGTTTTTAGTTCTCCTTTGCTTAAACATGTCACTTAAACCCTTTACTAAGGAATCACTGTCTTCTCAGGATGAAAGCAGTTCTATAAAGCCCTTCAAATCTGTTAGAGGACCGATAAGGAAAGCTCTCCAATGTTTTACAGACAGTCCAAGTTATTGCTACTTTTTCTCATTCCTCACCATAAAAATGGTCACACTTTCAGTTATCTGGTTTCATTTAAAGTAGGTTGAGGAGAACATTTGAGACAATTCCCTCATAGTACCTCTGTGCTTTCTGCTGAGAAATTTCTTTGGATAAAAGCTTCTTCTTTTCTATACTTTTTGCTTAAGTAGCTGGTCTAAATATTTCTTCTGGCACTTCCCAGGGCTAACAATCTTTTTGTGCATTTTGTTTGTGACAGGATGTGAAACCAGCTGATGTGGGCAACAAGCGTGGCATGTGGGAAGCAAAGAAGGGCTCTACGCCTGGAAAGGTAAAGACACAGACACTGTTCTTTGAAGGGGCAATGTTAGTGTTTTAAAGGATTTACAATGATGAGGTAATAGTTGTTATTCTTGATGTAGTCTACCTAATACATGAGTGAAAGTGGTCATTTGTGAAAATGTGACTCCAAGCTGATGTTACTTATTTGGAATCTTAAGTAAAAACATAAGATACACGGCTGCTCCAGTAATTCACTCGTTCCACATTTTGTCATGTTATAGCCTTATTTGTGTTTCACCTCAAAGTTCTACACACGATACACCATAATGACGAAGTGAAAAAAGATTGCTTGAAATTCTTGCAAATTTATTACAAAATATAATAAATAAATAAAAATACTCAAAATTGAGCTCAGATGCATCCTGAGCATCTGTCACATCTTTCTACAACTTAACTGGAGTTCACCTGTGGTAGATTCAGTTGATTGGACATGATTTGGAAAGGCACACACTTGTCTATATAAGGTCCCATACTAGACAGTGCACAAACCAATCCATGAAGTCTAAGGCATTGAGCACAGATCTGGGGAAAAGTGCAGAAATTTCTCTGGCCACTGTGATGGAGGCCACTGTGCTCCCAGGGAGCACAGTGGCCGCCATCACCTGTAAATGAAGAACTTTGGACTCTTGGTACAGTTGGCTGCCCGGCCAATCTGAGAAGTTAGGGTAGAATGGCCCGAGTCAGCGACTTGACCAAGAACTCGATGGTGACTTTGATAAAGACAGGAGAACCTTCCAGAAGGACAACTATTTCTACAGCACTCCAGCAATCAGGCCTGTATGAGTGGCAAGATGGAAGCCAATCCTCAGCAAAAGGAATATGACAGCCCACCTGGAGTTTGCCAAATGCTTACCTGAAGGACTTTCAGACCACAACAAACAAAATTCTCTGTTCTGATGAAACAAAGATCGAACTCTTTGGCCTGAATGCCAAGAGTAATGTCTGGAGGAAACCAGACAGTGCTCATGGCCGGGCCAGTGCCATTCCTATAGTGAAGCATGGTGGTGGCAGCATCATCCTTTTGGATGTTTTTCAGCAGCAGGAACTGGGAGACTAGTCAGGGTCAGAGAAAAGATGAATGCAACAATTTACAGAGATGTACTTGATGATAAGCTGCACAAAAGCACTCTGGACTGGGGCGAAGGTTCATTTTCCACCAGGACTATGACCCAAACCTCTAAGATCATATTGAAAAAGACTTGAAACTGTAACTGCTGCCAAAGGTGCTTCAATAAAGTGTTGAGCAAAGGCTGTAAATCCTTATGTACATGTTATTTTGTTATTTTTTAATACATGTCAGAGAATGTATCAAGCATTTTTTTTTCACCTTCACCTTCATTATGGAGCACTGTATGAAGAACTTTGAGGTGAAAAATGAATTTGATCCATCTGGAACAAAATATGGAAAAAAAGAAAGCACTGTGAATACTTAGATGATAATTTGCCTGAATACCAGTAGATGATTTGTCTTCCCTCATTTATTTTGTTTCCTTTATTCCTTCTGCTTGCACAGGTGGCTGTGGGAGGCAAGTTTTCTCGTTAATGGTAAGCTTCTGAAGTGACTGTATGCAGTGGTCAAATGTAACTAAGTACCCTTACTCAATACTGAACATTTATCATTGCACAAGTAAAAATAAATAGTCTAACATACAGTAACACTTGTGCATAACTATAATATACCACTAAAAGAGTTTAATAGTTGTTCCTTGTTTAATGTCAGAGAAAAAGTTTAACAAATACTAAACAGATAGACTCTCTTATGGTAGAGTTAATATGAAGTGACACCTAGCTAGCTTACAGAGATGGGAAATTAGGGCAAACAACCAATCATTAAAAAAATAGTTCAAAGTTCAAACTTATTTATATAGCAGTTTTAAAACAACAGGTGTTGACCAAAGTACTGTCCAATAACATGGACAAGGCAATAAATATAAAAAAAAAAACAGAATAGTATTTTAGAAGAGAATAAAATCATAAAAAAAGAGAATAAAATCATAAAAAGAGAATAAAATCATAAAAAAGAATAATAGTAACAAACTCATGATGAATCAAAAGCCAGAGAATAAAAACGGGTCTTTAGACGACTTTTAAAAGTATCCAGTGTTGGGGAGGATCTGATAATCAAAGGCAATGTATTCCAAAGTTTGGGGGCAGTCACAGCAAATGCCCGGTCTCCTCTGTGTTTTAATCTGGACCTAGGGATAACCAAAAGCATTTGGTCTGCAGACCTCAAGGATCTTGGGGGAGAATACCAGGTTAGGAGATCAGCAAGATATGTAGGGGCTTTCTTTGCAAGCTCCTTTGACAGCAAGATATGTAGGGGCTAGTCTATGCAACGACTTAAAAACAAGTGTTAAGATCTTAAAGTCAATTCAAAAGCTGACTGGCAGCCAGTGTAGTGATGCAAGTATAGGAGATATATGATCTCACTTGTGTGTGCCAGTTAGGAGCTAGCTGCAGTCGGCCAGTTGATGAAGAGGTGACACCAGACTAGAGACTATTACAGAAGTCGAGGCGAGATGAGATGAAGGCATGGATCGCTTTCTCAAAATCTCTGAAACAGAGAAAGGGCTTAACTTTTGTAATTAGGTGAAGATGAAGGAAACTGGTTTTGACTACATTATTTATCTGTTTATGAAATGTTAAATTGCTGTCAAAAATCACCCCTAAATTTCTTGCAAATGGTTTTTTATCACTTTCTTAGGGGCCAAGGTCATAATGGTCAGAAGGACCAAAGACAATGACCTCAGTTTTCTGTTCATTTAGATTTAGAAAATTTAGAGCCATCCATGCCTTGACATCTTCTAGACAATCAAACAGTCCCTTCAGAGGATTCACAGATTTTCATTTTAGTGGAAGGTAAATCTGAGAATCATCTGCGTAACAGTGAAACGAAATTCCATATTTTTTAAAAATAGATCCCAACGGGAGCATATAAATTGAAAAAAGGACTGGACCAAGGATAGAGCCCTGGGGGACCCCGCAAAAAAGGGTCGTCTTTGGAGACAATGTGTCTCTGAATCTAACAGAGAAAGTACGATTAGATAAGTAGGATTTAAACCATTCCAAAGCAAGCCCTTTAATTCCGGCACATTGTTCCAGTCGAGAGATAAGAATCCTGTGATCTACTGTGTCAAAAGCAGCACTGAGGTCTAATAATATTAAAATAACAGAATCTCCCGAGTTGGTAAAAGTTAAAAGGTCATTAGAAACTTTAAAAGAAAATAAATCTGCGTGTGATTTCAAGTGGGTTAAATTCTAGACTATTTGTCTTTATCCAGTGACTTCCTGTTCATGGAGTCTCCAATGACCAGAACCCCTTTGGTAACCAAACCAACTGCTAGCTGTAGCTTTCTTCCTTCCTTTCTTCCTTCACAGACATAGCTGTAGCTTTGTATTTACAAACTTAAGTGTGGTATTGGTCACCACTTCCTTTATCAGAAATAGACAGCCTAGAATAAAGTAAAGGGCGAATGACAACACACATTTCCTAAAATATCAAATTAGTCCTTTTGCTGGAGATATTTTTAGTGTCTCTACATTGGGGTTAGCTCTACTTTCACTCGGGCAAAGTGAATACTTCTTTTAACACTGTAAAGCTGAACATCGTACATGTTAAACCAGGGCTTTATGTTGGTCAGTCCTGGGGGAAGCAAACTTGAGATGAAGTGTGTCTGCTCTTCAAAACATGTACTGGACAAGTACAATAAGCCTTGACTGATTTATAGCCCAGCAGGAGCTCGTAACTACTACTACCCACCAACTCCTCTTTCTACCAGCGTAGCTGCTCACTGTAAATCAAATCTGCTGCTGGAGATTTTTGGGCACGGGCTCAGCTCTGTGGCACTGCGATCTATATTTAAAAAAACCCTCACCCTGACCTTGTTTCCCAGTATAAAGAAAGTTCCAGACTCCTGGGATGACTGTCATGTTTTTGCTGTGGGCTGTTCCCCAAGTTCCACCTGGACTTGGGGAACCGTGCGGAGTGTCAGAGAGCTGTCAGACATACCAGAGTGCAGCTGCTTGATTGTCACATTACAACTGACTGCTGAAAAGGATTACTAGCCATTTAAGAAGCAAATCGGGCTCGATCACCAGGCTTATTCACTCAGCGCTAATGATAAAAACCTAAGATGAGCTACCACAGCTACATAGGACAAGTTAAAACGTTTGACTTTACAACATAAATCATGAAAAAGATATTGACTTTGGCATAATAAAGCTGCCTTGCTTCTTCGTGTTCAAATATCACGTTTCTTCTGACATGAAGGCATCAGTGCTTGGGCCAAAGTGTGAACAATAGGAGTGGAAAAGTGTTTGTCGAGTGTCAACTTCAACTCTAAATAGCACTCCTTGCTTGTAGCCTTCCAACTTCTTCATCAGAAATAGACGGCTGAGCAATGAAGTAAAGGGCAAATGACCAAGTTACAGCTTTCAGTCACAAAGCAAAGTGTCCTAACTCTGAACAACAACAACAGCGGCACTGAACATGCATTATATTGTATTTATAGAGAACAATGGTCGTGAAAGCATTGATTAATGATGCTGAGGCTAGTGGCTGATGATCTTTATGTTTTAAAGTTGACACACTTGAAGGAAAATATGCACTGATCAGTTTTAAGCTGCTTTCCCCTCTTGTATCTGTGGAAGCATTGTCTGTTAAATTGTCTGTTAAAATGTTTGAGGCCTATATCAAACATGGCCAAGTATGTCCTCCTTCATTTCTTTTCTTCTTTTCTTTTCTTTTCTTTTTTGCATATTTGGTACACTTTCATGTTTCAGATATTCAAATAAATTTTAACAATAAGCATAAATACAAAATGCAGCTTTTAAATGAAAATTTCATTTATTAAGGGAAAAGGTTAACCAAACCAACCTGGACCTGTGTGAAACAGTAAGTGCTCCCTAAAACTAATGATTGGTTGTGTGACCACTGGCAGCAGGAACTGCAATTAAGTGTTTGTGATACCTGGCAATGAGTCTTTCACATTGCTGTGGAGCAGTTTTGGTTCACTTCTCTTTGCAGAATCGTTTTAGTTCAGCCACACTGGATGGAAACGGCCTGCTTATGATAATGCCAAAGCATCTCAATCTGATTTAAGTCCAGACTACTCAAAACCTTCATTTTGTTTGTTTTTTTTATTTTGGGGGGCAATTCAGACTTGACACTTGCTGGTGTGTTTCTTATCATTGTCTTATTGCATAACTTAAGTGAGCTTGAGCTTCAGGCCATGAACTTATGGCCTGACATTCTCCTTCAGGATTTCTGCTAGACAGCAGAATTTATGGTTCGTCAAGGTCCTGAAGTATGATCCGCTGGTATAATCTGTTTATGAAATGCTGTGTTAGTTTTATGCCAGATGTAATAGGACTCAAACCTTCCAAAAAGTTCAACCTTTGTCTATTTAGTCCACAGAATATTTTCCCAAATGTCATCAAGATGTTTTTTGGCAAATGTGAGGCGAGCTTTTGTGTTCTTTTTGGTCAGCAGTGGTTTTCTCCTTGGAACTCTGTATTGTTGAATCATGACCTTAATCTAACGAGTAAAGTCTTCTGTTCTTTAGATAGTGTTCTGGGTTCTTTTGTGACCTCCTGGATGACTTGTAGATGCATTCTCAGAGTAATTTTCGTGGACGATCACCCCTGGGAAGGTTTATCACTGCTCCAAGGTTTCTCCATTTGTGGATAAAGGCCTTCGTCATGGTTCACTGGAGTCCCAAAGCCTTAGAAATGGCTTTGTAAGCATTTCCAGACTGATAGATGTCAGTGACTTTGTTTCTCATTGTTTTTAAGTTTCTTTCTTTCTTTAAGATCTTTTAGGCTCCTTCATTTTGTGGAAGGTTGTTGACAGGTTCTGTTTGTTTGACTTAACAGATCTGCCAAGAATCAGGCCTAAGTGTGGCAAGCTAAAGTGAACACAGCTTTCCAAAAAAAGTGTAAAAAAATTGTTCGATTGAGGATCTGAAAGATGTAAGTGTGACAATATGCAAAAAAGGAAATAAAAGAAAAAAGAAGAAATCTGAAAGGGGCAAATACTTTTTCACAGCATTGTAGAAATTGCTTCAGGTTGCTCTATAAAACACACCACTAAGGCAGAGTATACAAAAATAACGATTATGACCATGACTCGTGCACCGTTACTTCAGTACAGTGTAAGCATGAAGCGTGGCGTTGGAAACAAGAAAGCATTTTTTAGTTTTGTAATCTCAATGATTTTACTAAAGTTTTTTCAAGTTTCTTTTAAGTTTGTTTTAATACCATTTAGAGGCTGATATATATAAAATAGTTTATACCTTAAAAACATGGCATTTTTTCTACTTTTCTCTATTTTAAAATATTTTTTTTATTCATTAAGGGATAAAAGTAGATTTCCAACATCAAAGAAGATTTTTGTACCAACAAAATAAAATTTACAACATTTGGAATTTATTCATTGTTCAGATTTATATATTGTGTATTGGTTATTATGCACATTGTTGTCTATTTCGATAAAATTTCAGAAACTTGCAGAAGAAAAAGTAAATTTTTTAATGTAAATAATATTGTGGGATTTTATCAAGGTGATATCTGTTCTGTTTATATTCACATATTCACCTGTGGTGTCTCACCTTACTCTAACAATGACTTTATCAGCAATGGACACAATGAGAAACTGATCTTTAATGTCTTTCTGTTTCTTTTATAGCAGGAGTGAGACCCTAACCATTGACATCCCAGTTACACCTGTTCAAACTCACACTTCTGCTGCTCTACGTTCACACCTGTTCCCCTTCAGCACGCCTGTATTTTGCATGAGGTTCGCATCACAATGAGGGAGAAGGGAATGACATAATGGGATTCCTGTGTCAAAGTCTTCCAGCTCTAGCTTTACAGTATCAGTACCTTTGCACTGCCACCTATTTTGACTTAGCCATGCTTCAAGAGTTTCATCAAAAATGAAAAGATGATGGCTTGACTTGATATGTGACTATAAGAAATTTAAAAGAATATTACACTTTCTAATTGTTTTTACATGGTTAATACTCAGTAGTAAACTAAAACTGTTCATTAGCTGTTGCTGTCACTATTTTTCATTCAAGCATTCTGCAAGTCGGTTATTTTGCTTTCAGCTCTCATTAGCAGGTCTATAATTCATATGGTGCATTTGGGCTTTGACATTATGTCATATAGCTTATACCCAGTAATTAGTATTCTTGCTTTATAGTGATACATGCACACTGCTTTTTGTGATGAAAGTTATGGTTTTGATTCCATAGAAAGTATACTGTACTCCACAGCTGGATATTGTATGAAAAGCTTGTATATAATTTACTTGTTTTGTAGGTTTTAGTTTCTACTAAGGCATCCATCATAAAGGGTTTCTGACGTATTTAATAAGGCCTTTGCATGTACTTAATATAGATCAGTTAGACGTAATTAACAAGTCTGTGGTTCTGAAGCAATAAAGAAATCTCTTTGGCTAATGTTTACAATTTTGATAAAAGTTTTTAATATTTTTTTAACAATAATAAGTTGTGCACAAACACTCATAAATAAACCATTAAATGAATGACTTTGATGTTCGCAAAGGATGGCAAAACTATCCGAGTGATTCAGCTCTTCAAGAGAGAAATATATCAACATCTATGTAGGGGTGGGGAACGCCAGGCCTCAAGGGCCAGTGTCCTGCAGGTTTTAGATCTCACCCTAGGTCAACACACCTGAATCAAATGATTAGTTCATTAACAGGCCTGTGGAGAACTTCAAGACATGTTGATGAGGAATTTAGCCACTTAAATCAGCTGTGTTGAATCAAGGACACATCTAAAACCTTCAGGATACCGGCCCTTGAGGCCTGGATTCCCCAACCCCTGGTCTACTGGATGGATTAATCTATTAGACATTCATGTTCTGTTAGTCATTTTTAAATACCTTGTCATGCAAACTTACTCACTAAAAATGGAAGACGTGATAAATATTTTTACCTGCTGAACATTGTAATTTCTATTCCTATTGTGAGCATGGCATCAGTGTGACTCTTCGGATGTAGTATGAAGAGCACACAGAGAAAACACAGACTATCTGATCACTCACCTCGTGATTAACTTCAAAAGGCAACTGGCTCTTAGTTCATTCACTCGTCATTTAGTCAAATTTACAACTCCAAAATGGATGATGCACGATAATAGTTAGAAAGCCGATAAGCCTTGATAAAGGCGCTCTTATTAAAATTCTAATTAAAAAACACACAAGGATCCACACCTCAAATCATAAGTTAACACTGGCACATCCTGCCTAGGCCTGCTACAGCAGCGTGAAACATTTTCACGAATAACATCCAGCTTTGTTACTGTTATGGCTTTTTTTTTTTTGCAAAAAAAAGTCTATGAATACTTGTGTATGCAAGTATCTACTGTAACAACAGTTCAGTGAACAAATCTTATTGTATTCAACAAACAGGTTATAGTCTGGCTGCTTTGCTTATCTATTGTGCATTTACATGCCACCTACTTCAGCTTTTTATGCGTTGCAGAAACATTAGAGACCTGCAAGACAATCGCAACATGCACTCTGTTTAAAAAAAGCCTGTAATTAACAGTGAATGTAACCCGGTGTTCCTGTCAGCAGTGCACATACGTTCAATTCTGCCTAAATGTATTGTGACACTTTCAGCATTTTTTTTTATTGATTGCCTTGTTTGAGTTGTTTACAAATATTGTATGTATGGCTTCAGCAATAAAAAAAAATGGAGGAAAAAAAGTTCTGGTTCTGTTTTAATTTTAACCAATGAAAGGAAATGCTGTCATTTGTAACCATTTGTGAAATTATGGTGTGTTGAAAACACAGTGGAGGGTGACAAGGCAGGAATCTACCTGCAAAACATGTAGCACGTATGAGTGTGTGTGTGTGTGTGTGTGTGTGTGTGTGTGTGTGTGTGTGTGTGTGTGTGTGTGTGTGTGTGTGTTAGTATCTAGTTCCTTGTGTGTCTGTAATGTCCAGCTCTCTAACAATAGACTGATCAGCCATAGGGTGTTGCAATCACATGAGTCAGAAGGGCTGGACTATGTATCCTTGATGCTTAACCTGTTTGTTAAGTTCAAGGAGCTGGAGTCTGTCGCTCGCCTCTGAGCTCCTCTGTCTGGGTCACAGGTAAGGGCACGCATGCTCTGTGTGGGGAAATGTTATCAAATAAATCAAAGCCTTGTTTAACCTTAAATATTGAACTGAATTAATCGATCAGTTAGTTTATCACTGAATGAAATCTGGTCTTGGATTGTTTTCGCAGCATGCTGAAATCTTTTTAAGCCACATTACAAATCCAACAAAATTGTCTCCATGGCATCTTTATAACATCTTCTGTGACTGTACAGCAGCTTGAACATGTACGCCCACAGACACTATTGATAAATTCATCATTTTTACTTATTTTTACATTTTGTTATAATAAAAACTTGTTATTGGCAGAATAATAAGCAGACGTAGACAATAACACATTCTATACATGAGTAGAATTTCAATGTTTTACTTCAAACTTCAAACTTAACTGGAGATATTAACTTTACATTTGAAGCCGTTCTGCCTACAGCATCACCATCTGCACAGTAATAAAACACTTTTTTATAGTTGTCGTCAGTAATTTCAAACTTGTGACAGGACTTTGATCACATTTAGTTGAATAACTATGTGTACCCTTTAAATACGCATACAGAAGTGTTTTATTTGGGCATACTGAGTAGGAGTGTTTTCCAGTTATTGTGTTGCTGCTGTTGTCCAGTTAAAGATCAGAATAGACATCTTCAACTCTGGCCAGGCTAAGATATCTGATCCAACGCTGACCCTCATTGTAAACTGTGTGAACGGTTGCTATCTCAGGATCTACTATGCTGCTTAATGATCAGAAATAGTTGTTGGTGTAAATATAGGCTAATAGGGTGTCCATTTTGCAGAGCTCACCCTTAACAAAATGTCTGACACAGAAGAAGTCGGGGAGGAAGAAGTTCAGTATGTGATCAATTTTACACTTTTTTTATCTTGATGTTATTATGAGTGCAACATTTCTTTATTGTGTAATAAGATAAGATAACCTTTATTAGTCCCACACGTGGGAAATTTGTTTTGTCACAGCAGGAAGTTAATTAAGAGGACATTTTTAATTGTGGCAATGTTTCTGCTCTCTTCCAGGGAAGAAGATGGTAAGAAAATTGCATCTACCCATTATTTTATACACCTGATTTCATTTCCAGTTTACTAATCATGTGTGCTCCTGGTCATCAGCACAAGATGACTCAAAGCACAAGCCTAAGTAAGTTTCTTAACTTTCCTTACGTTGAGCAGTTTAAACCTCACTTAGGACGAATCATTCAACGATAAACTGTTCACACCTGCAGGTTTATGGCAAACATTTCGGCCCCGAAGATCCCTGATGGTGAAAAGGTGGACTTTGATGTGAGTCAGCCTCATCAAACGTCTCTCCGTTTGAAACTGACCAGACACATTTCTCACAATGTTTGGTTTTTTGACGCAGGATATCTACAGGAAACGTCAGGAGAAGGATCTAGCTGAGCTGCAGTCTCTGATCGAGGCTCACTTCGTCCAGAGGAAGAAAGAGGAAGAAGAACTCATTGCCCTCGTTAATAGAATTGTGAGTTGGTTGCAGAGCAGTCACAGTGTCTGTACCCGGCTGAAGTTCACCGTGACTGCGCGCACCTTTGTGTGTTTCTTGGTTGTTGTTTTTTTAGGAGAAGCGTCGTTCTGAGAGAGCCGAGCAGCAAAGGATCAGGGCGGAGAGAGAAAAGGAGAGACAGAACAGACTTGCGGTACGGACGTGGATTTACACCTTCAGTCTACTGTTTATTATTCCACCTGCAGCTAAAACAGTACTGAATGATTGGCTTGTGCTGCGTGCAGGAGGAGAAGGAGCGTAAGGAGCAGGAGGAACAAAGGAAGAAGATGGATGAGGACGCAAAGAAGAAGAAGGCCCTCTCAAACATGTCTCAGCAGTACGGTGCTGGACAGAAGGTCTCTCAGTTTCCTGTGAATGACAGAATTAGAATAGTATGAAGCAGACATCTGCTTGCTTGACTTAATGAGAATGGATCACCTGAGTGGATAGTCCACTGTGATGCTCCTACTGCAGTAGCTTTGCATGATTTACAGTTAAAAGTACTGGGCCCCTCAGTTTACCCACAAAGCTGGTTTTATCTACTCCACCTTTACGACTCTTCTCCCATTAAGCTCTCTCTTTTGATTGGCTGTCTCTGATAAACAGAAGCCTTGAAGGTGGAAAAAAATGTCTGAAACTGAGCATTCCCAGCTCTCTGAAGACTTTAGGATTACTTGTACATATGCTGGAATGCAGTTTAAAATAAGTTAATAATAATAATAATACATAGAGAATGTTGAGGCGAACTCATGCTCATTCTTTATGTTATGTTACGCAGAGTGACACCAGAAGAGGCAAGAAAACAACTGAGAGAGAGAAGAAGAAGAAGATTCTGGCTGAACGCAAGAAACCTCTTAACGTTGATCACCTGAGCGAGGATAAACTCAAGTATGACAACACTATGCAGGGCTTCTTCAGTATTCATAGTTCATCATGTTTCTAAATACTGGCCACAGATAACTCGTGTTAATACTGCAACATATTTAATAGTAACAGGTAATTTGATACGTTTTTGGTATGAATTTCTTTGTAATGACAGTTGGGTTCTTCTTTAGGGATAAAGCCAAAGAACTGTGGGAGTCACTCATGGGGCTGGAGGCTGAGAAGTTCGACCTCAGTGAGAAACTTAAAAGACAGAAATATGATGTAAGTCATGAACTATTAATCCGTTCTGTGATATTACTGTCATTATTTAAAAAGACAAAATAGAACATTGAGTATTTATGACCAACAGCACGAGAAACACCTGAAGGCAACCATCCTGCATTTATCATTTATTGATATTTGTTGGTGTGTTTTGCTAGTTTCACGATTCACGTTAGACCCCGTTGTGTAAGATTATCAGCCTTTTTATTTCGAAACACTGAGGAGATGTTTATGTGCCGTTGCAGATCAACCTGCTTCTCTCTCGTGTTCAGGATCACCAGAGGTAAGCGCACAGCTCCCCCGCTGGATCTCTTCCTATTTTGATGACCTTCTAAGGTTTCTTGTCTTACATAAAGCTTCTGTTTCTCCCTTTCACACTTTTCTAAGATACGATTTCACCACTCACAATCAGAAAATAGATCAGAGACCGCAGTTATGAGTGTATTATGTTCTAAAAAACAGTGTCACTCAGCTCAGCGGATACTCGAGAAATCTATCATCTGTGACATTATTAGAAAAACACATCACGTACCCTGTTCTTATAGTTTGAATTTATTTCTGTTAAACAAACAGCATGCAGCTTGACAGCATACCCCCATAAAGTCAAAAGCCTTAAATGTTTGCGGTTAAAATTTCTGCACTTAAAATATTACCAACTTAATCATTTCCACATCATCTCATGACTCCCACAGTCTTTGTATTTCCGTCTTTAACATCTGTACCCTGGGTAATGGCATGTTGAATTGCTAAATAATGAAACTATATGATATCCGTGTTTATTAAACTCATTGGTATCCCGAACCTTTTCAGTGCCAAAGGTCGTGGAAAAGGCAAGATGGGCCGTGTGAGATAAAGCTGCTACAAGATAGAGTCGAGGCAAACGGTGACACCAGCGATGGACCCTGGTGTCTATTGTCCATGTGTTCATTCTTCTATTGTGTAAGGTTATGTGTCAGTTGCTATGGTCATAAAAGTACAAAACAAGTGTTTCTGTGTAAATCTGTCCACTATAACAACTCTTACACAAAAATTCACACTGAACAGCAAATGTGTCTAATTTTGCATTGTTCTTGTGTCGCTTTAAAAATAAAGAAATAATGAATGTATGATGTATTGGTATGGGGTATGTTAACAATTACAAAAAAGTGCATTGCAGTGCACAAATTACTTCAAAATCCAATAAAGAGGGCATATACATGGTGTCACATGAGTTTTCATTTGTAGCTTTAATCAAAATCTACAGTTGGAGCACATATTCCTCAGCAAGGCTCCACATAGTGGTGATGTATAATATTATTTATGTACTGTTTTACTTACATTAAGAAAAATATAATAATCTAGGACAGAAGTATACGTGATGCCGATGGCGAGTGACTAAAATGTACTTCCCCTGATTATTACTTCCTTGCTGTACATTAAAACTATGTTTCCATATACACATATCCACACCAGTGCATTTCTGAGTTGTCTCTACAGCCTGAGCTGCTGCATGACTCGACAGGGAGGTGGGATGGTCCACATGAAGACAGTGAGGGTCCCCACAAGGATGAAGAGAGCTTGCTGAAGATTGCTCATCCTCACCACAGGTGGGTTTCTCGGATCTCTGCTATCACCTGGCTGGCTTTCTGCAACGCCTAGACACAGAGATGAGAAGACAGATGTAATCTAATAACTGATTTTAATGTCGTCATCACACCGCATTAGGATCATACTGGGATGTACAGTTTCTCCATCAAGTCACACAAGAGAATCATAAGTCTGATTTACTGCGGTAAGTAGAGGGATTTTTATGCTAAAAAGATTTGAAAAGTCATCTGCTAGATTGATTCATTTCTCATGCCTCATATTGGCTTCAAACAAATGTCTAAATGAACTTTTGTACAGAAAGATGCTGTGTTCACAGAACAGTCAGTGCAACAATAACTTCA